ATATATATATAATCAGTCCCACATACTGTACACACATTCATGTATTACCATTCAGGATACAATATCATATGTTGCCATCACTATTGCAGTTTGTTTTTTGTTCTGGAGAAGTTTCTACAAGTGGGTCTCTTCTAGTACTTGGTGGGTTCTGGATACCGGCGGATGATGAGCAGTAAAATGTCACTTCAGTTCTTGCTGATGAATGGGATTTTTGGGAGGTTTATGGACAATTTGCATTCAGTATTTAATTCCTCAAGCTCGGTACATTGTGCTGATATTTAAGACGTGCGTCTGAGATCGTTCCCTCTTTTCTGCAGCTTTATCTGTGTTCTCCAAGTCTACTTTGTGTCACGTTAGCAGTTTTATGTATTTTTAGTCCGCTGGTTCCTTTGTCATGCTCGGCATCCTTGTTTCGCTTTTTCAGAAACGTTCACCTTTGTCACCACTTAGATTCTTTTAAAGTGACACTAAACTCAGGTGTTAAATCTTAAAAATGCATTCAAGTACCTTAACTATCACCAAAAATATATCTTATTTGTGTATTACTGGGCTGTAGATTCTCCAATCATCTCTGAATTGGTGCTGACACTGTCCTTCCTTCTGCAGGGTGACTACTTTTGTTCCCCATGGTCCCTGTGTGTGTTGCAAAGTAGTCATCGCTCCAAGCTCACTCCCGTGATAGACTACAATCTCCATACAAATGAGTAAACTAAATGAGATTGTAGTCTATCACGGGAGTGAGCTTGGAGCGATGACTACTTTGCAACACACACAGGGACCATGGGGAACAAAAGTAGTCACCCTGCAGAAGGAAGGACAGTGTCAGCACCAATTCAGAGATTTGAGGATTTACAGCCGAGTGATACACAAATAAGGTCCATTATTGTTAATAGTTAAGGTATCTGAATGTATTTTTAAGATTTACCTTCTTTAGTGTCCCTTTAACTATATATTTGCTCTCATTTCGGTTAGGATTAGTTTGCAGTGTGAAGTTATGACATTTGTATGACATGCACACTTTTAGAATCAAGCAATAATTGATGGAGGTGATCTGATTTCAGGGGTGCTGGTAGTTATCCAGACGGTCAATCTTGGTGGTGTTTGATGATTGCTTGTATTCTGTTCATCTTAGAAATAATGTCCCAGCGAAAAGATAAAGACCAGAGGAGTGAAGTTGGGCCACCGGCTTGCATTGTGTAGAATAATCACATTGCTAAAAGTTGTATGTATTCTGAGATCAAAAAAATATTTACTTTCAGTGTGATAAAAATGTATACGATTGTCTAACTGAAAAAACAAAAGCTTAAGTGACACTAAACTTGCGTGTTAAATCTTAAAAATGCCTTCAAGTACCTTAACTATTACCAAAATTAAGGCTGCAACTAATTTTCATATATCGATTAGTTGGCCGATTTTATTTTTTTGATCCATAAGTACAGTAAACTCCCCATTATCGGGCATTCAAGCAACCAGAACTCTCGAGCAGCCAGAAAAAAAAATTCTCTTTTACACTTTGCTGTGGCCGACGGCTAGATTCCACAGCTGGCAGGTGAATGTAAACAGGCAGTGGGTGTGTGCAATAGCCAGCCTGCTATTGGCTGTGGCAATTTTGAAATAGCCAATAGCAGAATCTAGTGGATGAATGGGGCGGGGGGTTTGTTAATAACCAATTTCTGGGTGCTCGAGAGTTACTAATAACACAAGCAACCAGAAATTGGTTATCCGGCATCTACCAATCCCCATGGTACTGGGTAACTGGGAGTTTACTGTAGATACCATCCGTAATTTAGAAGACAATACACGGATACAGTGTTGCAAACAAAGTTTACTGCAGAATAAAATGGCATGCACTATTTTTAGCAATCGCACTGCACTGGAACGCACGGCATTGCGGTACCGTGCGTATCACTGCGGGCGATCCCTCTGTGGGTGGGAGGCGCATTTAGAGTGCCATTGGCACTGCAGCACACCTTCTGCAGCAGAATGTCGGGCCCTTTTTATAATTTTTTTGTTGTTTATTTGTATTGTAAGCACCTGGCACTCGAATAGCTTCCACCTGGGAATGACAGCTGCCAGTGGCAAGATTCTACAGATGGCAGCTGAATGTAAATACAGCAGGTAGTGGGCTGGTGCAATAGCAAATAGCAGGCTGGCTGTTGCACCTGCCCACTGCTTGCTGTGTCCTCCTCCCAGCGTGGAAGAGAGCGCTTACGGAATCCAACCAACTAGTCGATAATAAAGAATAGTTGACTATTTTTATTCGATTAACTGCTTGCAATCCAAAACAAAATTGTAGCTCACCTGTGTATGACTCCGCTGTAGATCCTCAAATCATCTCTAAATTAGTGCACTGCTGACACTGTCCCTTCTGGAGGGTGGCTACTTTCAGTGGTGGAACAACCGCAGGGCCTGTGGCTGTGGGCGGGCCCAGTGGGGTCCGGTCCTGGGCTCCCCCACAGCCTCAGTGGGGTCCGGTCCTGATTTTGTTGGCAGTGATAGGTCCCGGTGTTTGAACAACGAGGCCCCGCACTGCCAATGGGCTTCTCAGTGAGGGGGCGGGTCCTGTGACTCCCCTCCCAGCCGCGTCCATAGTAACAGGCGGTGGGAGGGGAGTCACAGGAGGCTTGTGTGTGTCACATGCCCCGCCCCCTGCAGTGCTCAGATCGAAACTCCCTGGCTGCGGTCCTCTGGCTGGGTAAGTCCGAGCACTGGGGAGAGGGGGGGGATAGTAGTTGTGTACTGCTATTTTATGTATTTATGTACAGCTATTTCATGTATTTCATGTAATCAGACAAGTGGATTATAATGGGGAATATTACACTGTAATGTTCCCTATTATAATCTATTTCTCTGGTTAAATGGTTACAGGTAGTCATGTGCTCTATCAAAGTTTGAGACTACGTTAGAATGTGTGACCAGTGACGTGGTCACACATTTTAACATAATCTCGCCCAGTTTTTAGGTGGTGGAATAGGTGAAGAATACCAACGCTTTCTTCGCTGTTCCAGGGCAGCTCGGCATCGCAAATCGCATGTGCAGGAGAACCAATCTGCCCTGAAACAACTGATCGGTCCTGAAATGTCACTTCTATCCGACTTTGAGTGCGGTGGAATGTGAGATCGCAGTCGGAGAGAAGTGACATTTCAGGACCGATCAGCTGTTTTAGGGCAGATCGGTTCTCCTGCACTTGCGATTTGCGATGCCTATCTGCCATGGAACAGCTCGGAAAGCGCTGGAATGCTTCACCTATTGGCGGTCACACATTCCACCGCCGAAAAACTGGGCAGGATTACGTTAAAACGTGTGACCACGTCACCGGTCACACATTCTAACCCAGTCGCAACCTTTGATAGAACACCGCCATCAGGGGGGTATGGCCAGTACCCATGTGAGGGGTCTGGGGGGCCTCTTACATGGGTATCAACTGTACCGGGGCGGCATGGCAGAGGTGACGGGAGGGGGTGGAGGAGGCCGGGCCCCAGCAGCAGCAGCAGGAGGTAAGAGTTGGGAGGAGGTACAGGGAAAGGGATCCAGACGACCAGACCACCTGGGACCCTGCAGAGCCCACCATAGAGAGTCTCAGGTGGGCTATGCAGGATCTATGGTGTGCTCTGCAGGGTCTCGGGTAAGTCCAGCACGCTACTGCAACATTAGAGACTGCTGGGGGGGGCGGGGGCCAAAGTGATCCGCGCCCCCTCCCCCCATCTTGGGAGGGGGGCCCAAGATAAAATCTTGCACCATGGTCCTTTGGTTATTAGGTCCGCCACTGGCTACTTTTGTTTCCCATGGTCCCTGTGTGTGTTGTAAAGTAGTCACCGCTCCAAGCTCACTCCTATGATGGACTACAATCTCAATACA